GGCAGAGGAATATAGTAATGGAGGAAGGAAAAGGAAATTTTGCTTACTAGCTTCTAGCTTTTGTTTTCCAGCAATCCAAAGAATAATATCTCACTAAAAAGTTTATGATACGAGCTTCAGAAAGATATATCAAAAGAGAAGAGTTCCTAGAGTACAGGGTATGACAGCTATCATGGAATGGAGGGGAAACACGATAAATAAGAGAAGGACAGATGTCCTCAGGGAATAGAAGATTCCCCTGGTCCTGAAGGAGAGAGTTGTAAAGTGGGAAATGAAAGCTGAGATGTAAATGGGACCTGGGAAACAAAAACTCAGATAGTTGTTTTGGGTCCAAAGAGTTAAGGCCTTCCTATTCTCTAAGGAGGGATCCCTAGAACTAGAAATGCCAGGGAGAGGGTCTTGCCCATGGACCTGCAGGAACAAGAGATATTTTATGGAGAATGTGCACAGAGAGTTGTATATATTGTTAGAGAAACACCAAATGTTATCTCTAACTTCTTTGTTGTCAAACATAAATATCTGTTTTTGATTTCTGCCACAGGAACTAGGGAGCACCTCAGATGAGTGCAGAGCCAGGAAAAGATGCATCAAAATGAGTAGAAAAAGTCGTGGTATTTTACTCGTCCTATCCTCTCTCACCCTGATACAGTGAGACTTGATCTGGAGAAAACACTTAAGTCCCAGCTTCTCCCTTAGGGAGGCAAAAGGAGTGGGCCATGAGTCCAGCATTCTGGGTTTCTGGGGGTTGCCCAAGGCACTGGTTTCTGTCTTGCCTGACTCAGAGTGCAGAGTTTGAAGGCCATGTTGGGGGCCTCTGAGAACAAAGGCAAGCACCCTGTTTCCGCACTAGGGAGATTGTAGTACTATAGGCAGACACCAGGGGGAGAAAGAGGTTCCAGGCTCCAAACAGGAAGCAAGCAAACCTCTTTAACTGGGAAATGACACACACAAGCCCAGAAAAAGCTTGAAGGGCCCCTAGAATCTCTAGCTATGCTAACCAATAAAGGTCTTCCAATGCATGAAGCCAGTCTGTAATGACTGGAGGAGGTTGGGTGTATTTTTCAAATGCTTGAATCTTAACAAAAGATCACAAGGCATACAGAGAAATAGGAAAACAGGGCCCAACCAAAGGAACACAATAAATCTCCAGAAACTAACTTTAAAGAAATAAATATCTATGAGTTACATGATCTCTTATAGATATTTACACACCCATATTCATTGCAGCATTATTCATAATAGTTAAGAGGTGGAAGCAACCTCAATGTGGACCAATGGATGAATACAGAAAATGTAGTATATACATACAATGAAACTGTAAGCCGCCTTACAAAAGAGGAAATCCTATCACGTGCTACAACATGGATGAAACTCGGGGATCTTGTAACAGCCCAAGGGGTCCACTTTGCCTGCTGCCTAGACAGAACTGCTTTATCAAGAAAGAGGAATTGCAATAGAGAAAGAGTAATTCACGCAGAGCCGGCTGCGTGGGAGACTGGAGTTTTCTTATTACTCAAATCAGTCTCCTGGAGCATTTGGGGAGCAGAGTTTTTAAGGATAACTTGGTGGGTGGGGCGAATCCAGTGAGCCAGGGCTGCTGATTGGTCAGAGATGAAATCATAGGGAGTCGGAGCTGTCTTCTTGCACTAAATCAGTTCCTGAGCGGGGGCTAGAAGATCAGATGAGCCAGTTTATTGATCTGGGTGGTGCCAGCAGATCCATCAAGGGAAGGGTCTGCAAAATATCTCAAGCACTGATTTTACGAGCAGTTTAGGGAGGGTCAGAATCTTGTAGCCTCCAGCTGCATGACTCCTCAACCATAATTTCTAATCCTGTGGCTAATGTTTGTCCTACAGAGGCAATCTAATCCCCAGGCAAGAAGGAGGTCTGCTGTTGATCATCTTTGTTTAAACTATAAACTAAGTTTCTCCCAAAGTTAGTTCAGCCTACCCCGAGGAATGAACAAGGACAGCTTGGAGGTTGGAAGCAAGATAGAGTCAGTTAAGTCAGATCTCTTCCACTGTCTCAGTCATAATTCTGCAAAGGCAGTTTCAATCTCATGCTAAGTAAAATAAGCCATCACAAAAGACAAATATTGTATGATTCCTCTTAATAAAGAAGTCATTAAGAAATAATTCCTAGGCAGCTAGAAAAGTTATAGTTTCTCAGTGGAAATTTTCCTGTAATAAGAAGCAACCCCTGGAACCATTTCTTTTCTAACAGAAAAGGCAACTTAAAGAGCCAGGCTGGCAAGCTTTGATGTCCAAATGCTGGTGAGTAGAAACTAGGTCCACCTAAAATGGGCAACGTGGCGATTCCCGCCCTCTTCTCCTTGTCACCACATGTGCCAGTGTGATGGTGAACCTCCAGATTACTCACATGTGTTCAGGACATCGTGGTGACCCACATTTGCATATTAAAGGGCTAAGGTGAAAGGGCAACATGAATGACACCCCTGGTCAAACCAATCCCCTGGACCCTATGCAAATCAGACACCACCTCTTCCAGCCTCCAATATAACCAACTACTTTTCTGTTCCACACGGGGTTTCTCTTTGTTCGGAGACCCCCTCCCTCTGTCCCTGTATGCGGGAGCTGTTTTCTTCTTTCTCTCTTCTTTCTTGCCTATTACATTATCTGCTCCTTAAAACCACTCCATGTGTCTCCATGTCGTTTATCCAAACAGCACGAGACCAAGGACCCTGGTATTCCTGTATCACTGTCATTTGAAGTCTCCAAAGTAGACATAGAATGAATATGGAACAGAAAGTAGGATGGTGGTTACCAGGGACTAGGAACAGGAAGGAGAGGGGTAGTTGTTCAATGGGTGTACAATTTCAGTTTTGCAAGATGAAAAAGTTCTAGAGATTTATTACACAGCAATGTGAACATAAGTAATACTACTGATCTGTACACTAAAAAGTGGTCAAGATAATGAATTATACGTGTTTTATACAACAATTTAACATTTTAAAAATAAAAATTAAAAATTGATTTAAAGAGAATATTGCTTTGTTTCTTGCACACCTGCCTTTACACAGAAGACACAAAACCCTTTTGCTCCTAGGTCAGTGGTTCTCAACATGGATGTGAGGAGATTTTGTTCTCCCTCCATCAAGAGACATTTGACAATATCTGATGATGTTTCTTGTTCTTACGCATAGGGTGGGGTTGTGCTGGCATAGGCCAAGGATTCCAGTAAGCATCCTACAGTGCCCAGGATAGTCGCCTACCACAAAGAATTACCCCGTCCAAAATGGCATTAGTAGCTTATTTGAGAAACCTGTCCTAGCTTATTAATCAGAATGTGTTACTGATAAATAATATTAATCAGAATGTGTTATTGATATATAACTTCTCCCTTCTAGTTAGGTTGGTGGAGCTCAGACTCTGGAAAAAACTGGGAATGTAAAAGGCTGAATGAGTGTAGCTGAAAGACAAGAGGAGTCTTGTTTGGAACTTACTGAAGCCAAAATGGAAAAAAAGGAAGGTTGGGGGAGGAAAGACAGTCAACAGACCACTTTTAGGTCAAATTCTGTAGGGTTCTGTGCTAAGCACCTTACACCTGTTGTTTCACATAATCCTTAAAACTCAGAAATCATTTTGAATTAAATAGCACAGACTGGAGAGGGAGTCTTTGCTTGGGTAGGCAACTTTAACTGGTTTATCAGCACATTCCCCGGAAGGGAAAGGGGGTATGATTGCTCCTGAAGAGAGACCAAAAGAGCTTTGAATCAAAGCTCAGGAGGAGAGCTGCATTCCAGTGTTTCACAGATGCTGTGAGGGTGGCAGAGATGCAGGGCACCCACCAGAAACACAGCCGGCACTCTGTGAAAGGGGAAGGGGCACCAGGAGCGCGGGCGAGCGAGGTTGGAGGTGATTCTGCCCCTCTCCCCAGGCTTTCTGGGTGAGTCCATTCTCCCTCTCAGACTCACTGTTAGAACTCAAGACAAGCCAATTACATTTCGTAATGTCTGTGTCATTCTGATACTGAGAACGAATCCAGCCTTCTGAATGGTGTTTCTTAACTCCTTTCTTCAACAGAAGAGTTAATGTGTGGAATTAAGTGCAGAACCCATGGCCCTCTGAGGTGACGGTGATGGTTCAGGTTGTGTTTCTGGGTTCATTCTGGCAGCTCCTCCAAGGAAAGGAGGAAGGAAGCTGGCAGGGTGGGGCTTTGCCATCGCCCTGGCTAGCTCTGTTTTCCTTGCCTGATACATTGAGGTCAGCTTCAAAAGAATGCCCAGCCAAGGGTTTGAAGGGCACAGTGGCTCTGTCCTCACAAAACCAGCCTGCATATGAGTTTGCTGAATTCATTTAGGTCCTGCTGAATCTTTCCCATTTGTTCCTTCTCCATTTCAATATTTCAATACTTCCCTAGAGGGGCCCAACCTTCTGTTGCTAGAGAAAGAGAGCAGCCAGAGGAAGAAGATGACTTTAGAGTAGGCAGCAGTTGGGCAATGATGTTGAAAGGCTGCTTTCAACCTGCCAAGAGCTTGGGGAATTAGAAAAAGAAAAACAAAAACAAAACTAAAAAAACAAACAAACAAAAAAATTTTTAGGAAAGCTTTTCTGTGTTCTATATCACTATTATTAGCTGTATATTACTATATATTATTATATTATTAGCTATGTATTAGCTATATATTAAATGTTAATTGAAAGCAATATTGTCATTATTGCTGTGATTATTATGGTTACTTATATACGATGCAATATTGTTATTTATCTATGTTATGATGACTAGCAATATTACTTTTATTAGTTACATATGATTGAAAGCTTCAAAGCAGCATAGGCTTTTTATAAGCATTTTTGCTCATGTTTATGACAATTCTCCAGTGTTGGTATTGCTCCTCTATTTAACACATTAGAAAAATGAGGCTCCAAGAACAGACTGGACGAATAACAGGGAACTTATAAGTCTCAAACTGGCAATTTACACATAAAGCTCTGTGACGCCTGAAGTCTCACAGTCATAAGTTGATTCTTTTTGTGATTTTCCTGAAGTTGCTAGAAGTTTATAGAAAAGGAAGTGCAGGCATATTTCACAAATTTACAACCTGTAAGTTGCACATCCTGTATGGCTGCAAACACTGGAATAAGAAAGGGCTGATGACTTTCAGAAGATGAAGGTATGTAGAAATCATTGATGGGACTATCTGAGAACCCAGACAGACTCTAGCTCCTTCCTGGGAGTTTCTGAGGACTCAGCTGGAACCAATGGCCACAGGTAGGTAATGCTGAAAGTCTTTTCTCATCTCACCGTTCCCTTGCTGTGACGTCATTAGAGGAGTAATTTGACTTGAAACTCATTGACAGCAGTTAAGAGACACTAGAGCACTTTGGAAATAGAGTGGGCAAATGGGAGGAGTATCTGGTTTTAACTCTGTTTCTTCTGAATTCTAACTGCATGATCTTTGTGAGTCACTTACCTAAGACTGTGTAATTAATGGGAGCAGAGGTCTTGTCTCTTCAAATGTTCTTAGGCCATTTGCACACTGGGCAGTCTGTGGGCTGAGAATGGTGCAGTGAAAAGAGATCCAAACTGAGCTCAGCAACAAATATCACAGCCAATGTGGTCTTAATGCTAACCGGAGGAGGATCCAGGATGCGAGCCTATGTGTTATGACTCCAAGACTTGTTCTCATACCACTACATGTAGCTGCTTCTCCAACCTGAGTAAACTCAGACACAGGCTGGCATTGCCACGTGGGAAGGTAGGAAGAGGCGGAATGATCTAGAGATTTATGCGGAGGCGTCAGATTCAAGGGAAGCTGAGATCCAAAACTGGCTTTACAGCTTCCCACCCGTGTGAACAGGGTTGAACAATAAGGATAACTGCAAATATTTCTTCAGCATTAACTCTATGCCACACATATATGCAGCATGTATATTACTTGCATTCATAACTCAAACTTTATTTTCAGTGTTCTTATTTATTACATGTTTTTGCTAACTTACTAACATGCAGAGCTGTGGTAAGGATTAAAACCACTGCATAAGAACTAAGAGCATGTCTAGTAAAATATGATAAACATATTTAAGATGAATGCTAATAGACAAAAAAAAATGAGCAGAGTGCAGTTGTCTAAAAAATTCATCAAATAAATGGCAATACAGTTGTTGTCAGTAGGACTGGGCAAAGAGACATTGCTGCATATTGCAAATTTTGTGTGACCCTTTGCCTCTGGGCATTGGGGCCTCTCAAGATTCACGTTGCTGCCACCCTGTGATGTGTTTATTATCTATAATGGACTGTGTCAAACATTATGGAAAAATCCTCAGGAAACCAAGGTTGTGTAGTTCTCACTGTTCCATACTACCAGTTTCTTTCTCTAACAGACAGGCCAAGTCTGGACTAACTGGCAGAAACTGACTTACCAGTTTTGCAGCCAGAACCTGGGAGCTCTGTACTTTTCAAGAGCTGAATCTATTTTTTCTTCCATAGTTGGCAACACCATCATGACATCACAACCTGTTCCCAATGAGACCGTGATAGTGCTCCCATCAAATGTCATCAACTTCTCCCAAGCAGAGAAACCCGAACTCACCAACCAGGGGCAGGGTAGCCTGAAGACACGTCTACAGGCAGAAGTCAAAGTTATTGGGGTAAATCGAATTCAGAACATGTTGGAGAGGGGTTGGGGGAAGCGGGAAGAGATGATGTATGTCTTGGGACTGGTCATCTGTCCTGAGTGTGGAGACCCTTAAGTTTTACCAGAGGGACTTTGGAGTAGAAGCCATTTGGAGAAAACTGTCCCAGAACTTTTCCACAAGAGGTTGTCTTAGAAATGTTTTTTCCCTTATTCTGAAGATGAGGAACTGATTTTCTGTTGTTGTCTTTGTCTTGTTGCAGTACAGTGCTTCTCTATATTTTCTTTTACAAAAGTAATGGTGGTAAATAATTATACATTGTATATACATTTTTCTGTATTTCACAACTGCATGCTTAATAATCCACACTGATTCTTTGCAAGGAATTTTTCCCTTACTGCAAACTACAGAAAAAATCTACTTTCTCTCCCTCTTTTCTCCTTACCTTTTTGAGAATGGAAATGATATTCACCTTTTGTTTGTCTGTTTCTCCTCTCATCCAGAGTTTATTAAAGAAGCTGTATTGCATGAAGGGAGGAGAGAAAGAAGGGATCTATCTTGGATTGGGAGGGAAACGCAGAGTTTTGGTTTCTAGAATTGCCTCTGCACTTATGTGATCGGAGGTGAGGCACTCCGTTTGACTGGATTTCAGGGCCTGGTGGGACTGGTTTCCTTGCCTCATGTACAATCACGTGGGTTTCTGTGAGGCTCATGTGACATAAGGTCTAGAAAACTTCTTGGTAAATGACATTAGAGCTGTGAATCTCTGAGGTGGACGTCCAGGAGGGAAACTACCTCCTAAGACAGAGCTTCCGTTAGACGTGAGAGCATGCAGTATTTGGTTTCTGTCCCTGTTAGTTTGCTAAGGGTGATGGCTTCTGAATGATGAGAACACACAGACACGTAGAAGGGGACAATGCACACTGGGGCCTTTCAGGGGGTGGAGGATGGGAGGAGGGCGAGGATCAGGAGAAATAACCAATGGGTACTAGGCTTAATACCTGGGTGATGAAATAATCTGTACAGCACACCCCCATGACACAAGTTTACCTGTGTGACAAACCTGCACTTTTACCCTTGAACTTCAAATAAAAGTTAAAAATAAAAGAGCTTCCAGAACTTCAGCTTTTGGTTTGTGAACTGCAGTTTCCAAGGAGGTGACCAGAGGGGCAAACTCCATGGCCAGTGGAGTCTGGGAGATGAGGGGAGGGACTTCTGCACCGCCAATCCTGCAGGGAAAGTGAGGGCTTCCAGGTGCCCCCCGTTCTCAGAGAGGTAGAAAGAGAGTTACTAGTCATGGACTCAGAAGTCCTGAGAACTGGCAAAGCAAATCCCAGCAGCTGCTCTGAGCTGGAAGCAGGCGCCGTGAGCAGACCAGGGCCCGAGAGGCAGAAATGCAGACGCCTTCCTGAGCACCTGCCAGACACCGAGACTGTGGCTTCTGTGGCAGAGCCGCACACCCTCCAGGGTGTCTTTTCATGTTTCTCACTCCAGAGTTTCCACAGGGTTTGTATCCTCACTGGGATCCTGCAGAAGGCGATAATGCGTTAGCGCCATGGGAGAGGCAAAAAAGTCCTGTTTTGTTGTTTGTTGTTTGTTTGTTTGTTTGTTTTTGACATGGAGTCTCACTCTGTCACCCAGTCTGGAGTGCAATGCCACAATCTCAGCTCACTGCAACCTCCGTCTCCCGGTTCAAGCGATTCTCCTGTCTCAGCCTCCAGAGTAGCTGAGATTATAGGTGCACACCACCACGCCCGGCTGATTTTTGTATTTTTAGTAGAGACGGGGTTTCACCGTGTTGGCCAGGCTGGTCTCGAACTCCTGACCTCAGGTGATCCACCCACCTTGGCCTCCCAAAGTGCTGGGATTACAGGCGTGAGCCACCGTGCCCAGCCTGGCCATGTCTTTACAAATGCTGGTTTTAATCCTCAATCTTCCTTTCTCTTTCCACAGACTATCCAGATCTTGTGTGGTGTGAAGGTATTGAGCTTGGGAATCATTTTGGCATCTGCTTCCTTCTCTCCAAATTTTACCCAAGTGATTTCTATGCTGTTGAAGTCTGCTTACCCATTCATAGCACCCTTGTTGGTGAGTAGTTTCTGAGGAGGGAAGCATGGGGCAAAGAGGGGAGGGAGATGTCAATAGCGTAAACTCTACACCTGCCACCTTGCTATGTTTGATCTGCCGGGAGCAAGGAGTCAATGGTGAAACTTGTTCTCTTGTGTGTGTAGTTCAGGGAGGATTGAGTGGGGTAGGATGGCAGGGCGTTCCTGATTTTAGATCAATTTCTTATCAGACTCAAATATGCATTTCTTTTGAAGATCATCTTATTTTTCACCTTATCATCTTGAGCTATGATGAAGCTAGTGACTTCTCTCCGGGTTTAGGCAAAACATTCATGAATTAGGATAAAGTTGGGAAGGAACTTTTTATATTAAAAAAAAAGCATCAATGGAAAACATCATACACTCACAGAGAAACCACACAGATGCTTGTGGGACCATGGAGGAAGGGGAACTGACACCTCTGAGCATTTTGAAAATGCTTTTACTGCATTGACGGATTCCCAGGGAAGGCTGAGCAGATGTCTGTGTCCCAGTGATGGTCTGGAAATTCCTCTGAAATAGCTGCAGCCCTGGGGTTTCAAAACGACTTAGTAGTCCTTTTCTCAAAGAACTGCTTTCTCTTAGATTGAGGCTTTCTCATAATTAAGCTTCTCCTTAAAAGACGTTTTTTCCTTCAACTTCCTGCACCTCAGTACCCGTCATTAGCCCTTGTTTTACATTTGTTTATTTGATGCATCAGGAAGTTCACCTGTTTGTCTATCATATCCATTTGTCTTCTTTTATTAACAGAAGTTTCATTTGGATTTGGATCTCACCGGTTTTCCACAAATGACATTTTTCTATGTCAAGATCCATGCAAGGCTACTACATTACATTGCATTACATTTGGTCATGATGTCTCAGGCTCCTCTAGACTTTCTCAGATTTTCCTTTTGCTTGAGGACTTTGGTAGTTTGAAGTAGTATTGGCTGCGATTTTTATAGAATGTTCCTGAATTGGGGTTTGTCTGATATTTTTCTGATGTTTAGAAAATGGTGCTTTACCTCTGCTGTCCTCAGCCAAAAATTCACCCACGTCTAAACATCAGAAAAATATCAGCGTGTTGTCACTGATACAATTTACCTTGATCATGGAGCTTTACTGAAGCCAAAATGGGGAAGAAAGGAAGGTTGTGGGAGGAAAGACAGTCAACAGACCACTGTTGGTTTCTCCTCTGTAAAGGTTCCTCCTTTGTAAAGTTACTACTACTAACTACTAAAGTTACTATTGCTTTCTCCGCTGTAAAGTTACTACTTCTTTCCTTCCTCTTTCTATAACCTATTCTTTAAAGGCAAGTCACTAAGCACAGTCCACCTTTGAAGAGGCATCTAGTCCATATTTTATAGACTTGGCATTTGTCTATATAGACAAGTAACTAAATGCCTGGGTTACAAGAATCACAATTTTGCTTTGGTGCTTGTTGCCCTTTCTTCTAACTGTCAAAGAATTTTCTGTTCCTTAAAGGCTCTAAGTCTGTAGATCATGAATACTCTAGAGGATGAAAAAAAATTTCTTTCATTTTGTAAACACAACCTTGAAAGTTTCTGCCATCCATTCTTGTCTTTCCTTCTGTTCTCCTTGACCATTTTACCTTAGCCTGGGGAGCCAGCAATGTAAGATCCATGTCTCTGACCTCCCATATCTGTTAGCTTTTCCCGTCTTTTATTTTCTTTTAAAGAAGACCTAGTAACAACACTTTTCTGCTCTTCCAAAAAATTGAAGAGGAGGGAATACTTCCAAACTCATTTTATGAGGCCAGCATTATCTTGATATCAAAGCCAGATAAAAACATTACAAGAAATCTACAGGTTAATATCCCTAATGAACATTGATGCAAAAATCTTCAACAAGATCCTAGCAAACTGAATTCAACCACATATTAAAAGGATCATTCACCATGATCAAGTGAGATTTATATCAGAAATACAAGGATGGTTCAACATATGTAATCAAATGTGATGCATCACATCAATATAACGATGGACATAAACCACATGATTCTCTCCAATTCTTTTCTCTTTCCATACCATTGTTTTCATGTCCTTCTCTGAAGAACATCTTAAACCAAAATTTTCTCATTTCATTAAGAAAACAAATATTATTTCCTGGCTGTTAAGATCCTCATTTTGTTTATTTGGATATATTTCTGCTATCTTTTTTTTTCTGTTGCTATCTGAAAACTATGGGGGCAAACAGGATAAATCTATGTCTTTAAATGGATATTACCTCATTGATCATTTGTTCCCCAGGGTTTTTCCCACGAGAGTTTTCTATAAATATTGTGGTAGTAACATCGCAATTACTCTCTACATGGAAACTGACCTCATCATTTTCTCTTTTATCTTAGTTTGTCATCTCTGGCTTTCTATCAATTATCACAGAGAAAAGGTTAACCAAGCTTTTGGTGAGTATAAGAACTATAACCCACAACCCAATGGATCAAAATGAAACTTAGACAGAACTCGTTAAGGTCAGTCTTTCTACTTGGAAAAGTTGAAAATTCAATTCCAGAGCAGTCAGTTGTTAAGAGTTAGGAGCCAGGCCTGGAACCTCTGCGTCCTTGTTCAGAGCACATTTCTCCAATTATTGCACCCTACATCAAAGTCTGCATTCAAGGAATTATAATATCCCTTCAGCCAGTGTCCAAGAATCTATCACAGAAAAATTGTGCTTATTTATGATGCTCTTTTGGTGACAATTGGACTTCAAATTTAGGTTTTCAGTGGCAAGGGAGCTGACAGTGTTACAAAGAGGCCTATTTGTTGAGGTTCACTGTTTAAGCCCAGGTGTTACCACCCTTGAAAAAAACGAGTCAACGTGCTGTTTATGTGCAGTACTATCTCTCATTCTTTCATCTATCTCACCAGAAAGATAATACTTTTATTTTGTTTGAGTATAAATTCTTGCACCCTAAAAGTTGCCCTTAGTCATTTGTATTGGCTAAGGAAAAAAAACAGCTTTACCTGCCTTTATCCCTTATTCCAGCAAAAACTAGAGTTGGAAGTGGCAGGGAGAGAAAAGCTGGATTATAACAAGAAGTGTTTCTTGTCTGTAAAGTTTCATTAAGTCTTCACTCAATCCTATATCCCTCAAAGGATTGATGTTGGAGATTATGTGAGAGAATGTCATATCATTTAATTGCACAGAAACTCAATTTGGAAGCTCTGGCTACAAAAATCTCCCAAAGCCAATGAGGAAGTCAGAGAGAATGCCCAGAAAAATGCCAGTTCTTTCTTTCCCTCGTTGGTATTTAATTATTATTTGGAACCCTCAGTTACGATCCAGACCACTAGATCTGTGCTGTGCAATACAACTGTCTATGATGGAAATGAAATGTAACTTTCTATGATGATGGAAATGCACTACAGCTGCACTGTACAACATGGCAGTCACATGTGGCTATCGACGATGTGAAATATGGATAGTGCAACTGAATTTTAAATTTTAATTAATTTTACTTCAAATATAGGTTGCCTATGTGGCTACTGGCAACCATACTGAATAGCCTCGTACAAGAGTAATGTTTTCAAACTTTTAGGAGGAAATAGATGGGCCTCTTACTGCAGAGAACAATCCCACAGTGAACATGCAGGAAGCTCAAGGATGCAGGATGTGGTCTCGGGGTGGGCTCACACTCACCAGAAACATTGAGGCCTTAGTGAGTTCTACTCTTGTCACACATTGTACCAGCCCTTTCTGAGATTGAGGAAGAGTGTCATCTCAAGACAAATCTAGCTTATTCTAAGAAATATATACTCTAGGCATCAAGACTACTATTGGCTACTAGGAGGCCCAAGAGTATAGAGTCAGTCATTATGTTGGGAAATTGGGGCCCCAGAGGATCAACTGGTGAGTTCCTAAAAGAAGTGCCCATATGGGATTAAATAACTCTCTACTGTACGGCTGTGGGGTGTGCCCTGGAGCCTGCCTACCTGTAACTATAGCTTTCAGAAGGCTCTTAGCTCAATTCTCTTTTCTGTGTGAGTTGGAGTAAAGGAAGTCACTTCTGAGGTCAGTTTATTTACTCCCTTCGTTTCATAAATGTAGAAATGAGAACCAGAGTGGGAACTAAAACCAAGAAACTGAGTACCCAAGAGAATAAGCTGGGTCAAGTCTATATTGTGACCTCAATTTTCTGACATACAATCTAGACCTTTTTCCTGTACTTCCCACTGCCTCCCACACATTACACCATCCTTGGGCCTGTACCTAGACCTCTGCCCACAACCACCCCATACTGCACTCAATGTGGCCAATCATATGCCTGCCCAGGTTCCAGGGCCTGCCTGAGACTCAGAACCATCCCCTCACTCATCCTTAAGAGGTGTGCTTTTGAGAGAGGCAATGGGCATTCAAGAGTGAGCTATTAGGTTGGTACAAATATAACTGCAGTTTTGCCATTGAAAGTTACTTTTGCACCATGCTAATACACCATCCACCTTTTCTGTATGGTTGATGCTTGCAAGAGGGATTTCTGAGTTGGCCAAGAGAGAAACTGCATCTGGTACATTGCCACCTTTGCTTTTGGTCACACTCATAGTAATTTTCCAGGCAAGCCTAGTGGAGGCCCTGCTATCTGTCCCAGGGAAAGAATTTAGGAGAGTAACATTCTCTACCACACCACTGAGGTCCTGTTTAAGGGGAACCAGTTCATATATTCATTCATTCAGCCAAGTTTTACGTTGCAGATTCTGAGATTTTTGCTGGACAATGGAGAGGCATACAGCAAGAAACGATCCTTCCCAGCCTTCCTGAGGGAGACAGATAAGGGAATAACTTGCAATGTAATGGCAAAAAGGGGTAAGAGAAATTCGCAGCTCATTGGTAATGATCCTTAACCAGCATGTCTCTTTCAGGTGCATGGCAGCCTGGCTGGAAGCATTCTGAGTGCTCTGTTGGCCCTGGTGGGTTTCATTCTCCTGTCTGTCAACCTGGCTGCATTAAATCCCGCCTCACTGCAGTGTGAGTTGGACAAAAGGAATATACCAACCAGACTTCTTCTTTCTTATGATGATTATAATTCGCCTTACACCACGGACTGCTACAAAGCCAAAGCCAGTCTGGCTGTAAGCATTTTTTAGATGGGGTGTTCTAATTTTATGGGTTTCCTGAAAGCCTTGATTTCTTATTATCCCTTCCTTTGAAAATCTCTCTGTTAATTCTGGTTTGGGCATATGGAGGAAGGCCAAGGTTATGTAAATCAAAGGGGGACTGCATGGATGAGATTAAGGGGATTACATACTAATAGAGTGGAATTGAAAATGTCAAATAAGGTTGATGATGAAAAACTAAAACTTATTGTTTGTAGAGTTTCTTAATTATTAAACTAATCTAATTTTGGAGGCATAAATTACAAGTTTGTCAAACTGAGAATGTTGGTACATAGAGTGGTGAATTCAGATTGGCAAACAGAGCAGAAAGACCCGGGTGATCAGAAAATGCCAACAAGGAAACGTGGTATGTGTGTGTGGTAGGGGGTCAGTTTGGTCTAAAAAGACATCAGACTAAAGACGAAGAAACAGAATAGGAAATAGGGGGTTAGATGGTAAGGGCTTCTCCTTCTAATGATTACAATAATGAATAATACTAATCAGGTGAGACGGTAACATTATTATTGCTTTTTATAGCTGAAAGAAGTGTGATACATTAAATCAGGAGATAAGAAATACAGGGAGTCATGGGGTCAGGAGATCGAGACCATCCTGGCTAACACAGTGAAACCCCATCTCTACTAAAAATACAAAAAATTAGCTGGGCGAGGTAGCGGGCGCCTGTGGTCCCAGCTACTCGAGAGGCTGAGGGAGAATGGCATGAACCCGGGAAGCAGAGCTTGCAGTGAGCCGAAATTGCACCACCACACCCCTTCCTGGGCGACAAAGCGAGACTCCATCTCAAAAAAAAAAAAAAAAGAAAGAAATACAGGGAGATGGAGAGTGTAACTGATAATTATTGTAGGAGGATTCTCTCTTTTGAAGAAGAAAAACAATTAAGTTTGGCTAACAGAAATAGTATGTCTGAAGTTGAAAGATTAAGGGGTATGTGCATGGTCAGCAATACACTGAGAGGAAAACAGGCAACATAAAAGTAAAGAAGTTGCAGAATATTTATTGTCCTGCAATCATAAAAATGAGATTAGCCAAGAATTCAGCTGGAAGATGGACACACAGAAAGGCCTGGTCAAAGTCATGCTTGTACAGCACCCATTATAAAGTAGGCCTTCCTCCCAAGGTAATCGTATAATAAGGAAAAAATGCATGCAAATGAGGCTGACAGTAGTTGGCACAAATTAACACCGGGCACAGCCATTCCACCTTGGGAAAAATTCTGGAGAGAAATTTGAGAGAAATTTGGTAGTGATAAAGATGATGGGATGATTTTACATTGAAAACAAGAGAGCTTCTGTTGAGCTTGCTTGCTGAAACTATTTCTAAGGTAATGGACACAAGGTGTATCTTCTCTTTAACTGTGTGTAAATACCACAAAACAAAAGTTCATGTGATCAAATTATCTGACTTTATTATCAGATGGCCAGTTCTACACAAAGAATGTCTCAGGACAGAAATGGTAGAACTCATCCTTGTGAGTTGATGTTGGTGATTAGCAACTCTGACAGTTTACTATCTTCATGGTTTTTTTCCAAGTCTTAAAGCCACCAAGTAAATAAATAAATAAAATAAAAAATAAACAACAATAAAAATAAAAAACATCCAAAGGGGTTCAGAGACATAGACAGGGATGTCAATACTGAATTTTACAAAGGGCTTACACAGCCAAAACCTCCTTGATCCTCACAAATCTCTGAGAAATAAATGTTAGTAGGCATGTTTGATACATGAGGAAACAGGAGCCAGAGAGAGAGAGACTTGTCCAGGCTTACACAGCTACTCAACAGTAAAGGTGAGACTAGAACGGAGCTGCTGATTCTCAGTCCTGGTAGTTATTACACCACTCTGCTCTCTTACTGAGTGAACAATGTCATGACAACTATCTACGTCTCAAAGAAGTCAGACACAAGAGGATGGAGTGGATTAGTTGATTTAGTTACTACTCATCTTCCCTTCTCAAGCAAATGAATGAGTGAAGGAGTTGAATTAAGACATTTGTGAGGAGGAGCAGTTTTGTTTTCCTGATGGTGTCGTTACTTCATTCTCTAACGGTTGAGGTGGTCTTCTTTTCTGTGGTCACCTCTCAGCTAGGCATGAAAGCTTCGGCTGACCCAAGCACCACCGATATTTTATTTCTTGACTTTCAGGGAACTCTGTCTCTGATGCTGATTTGCACTCTGCTGGAATTCTGCCTAGCTGTGCTCACTGCTGTGCTGCGGTGGAAACAGACTCTGTCTGACTTCCCTGGGTGAGTGCGCTGGCCAGCCTCGCTTAATCTTGCCTAGTGTATCTTATCTCTGCACTGTGTTGAGTACGTCACCAAGAGTGGCAGAAGGAACAATCAGCCAGTCATGAGATACACATGGGAGGGCGTTTTCATGGTGATGGAAGACAGAAAAGAAAAGCAGATGGCAATTGAGTAGCTGACAAGCTGAGAGTTCACTGGATATGAAAATAGTTCAAATGAGAAATCAACTGGTTCAATTTCCCATTTTGTCAATGAAGGGAATGAGACTCTGGGAAGTTAAATGACTTGCCTGGCATTATGCTATGAGTTTGTGTCTGTGCTGAGGACACTAGAACCGGGCTTGCCTCCCTTCTAAGCAGAAACAATTTCTGCCACAACCCCTAGTCTCTTTAATAGTATTGACTTGGTAAAGGGCATTTACACATGTGACTGGACCCAGTGAATGTCTTATGCTTTGCTTTTCCTTCTGGTGATTTTAAAATTCTTTTTCCTTTTAAAAGATATATTAAAAATGTACTGTTGAATCAAATTCCAAGAGATACCACCCCTACGGACTTATGGCTTTTTTTAACTGAATTTGAAAGCCTTGATTTATCCAGAATTTTATTATAGAGAATAGAATGAAGACTAGACTGATAAATTGCAATTATTTGAAGAACCTAGTGATCTGTTCTACTTATCTTGGATTAGCTAAGAATTCTATGTATACAGTTGGAAAAATGGCATATATACATCTATCTTGAACCTGAGTAAAGTCCGAAGACCTAACATACTTTGTTTCTTCTAGAGTGTGCTTTTCCTGCCTCACAGTTACTCCTGTTCCCAAAGATGACTCATGATGCTGGATATGAAGAGCTATTGACTTCTTGGGAAAAAAAGGGAGAAATATTAATTGGAAAGTTGATTTTTATGATAATATGGAAAACCTAACCATTACGAAAAAGTGAACTTGAGTTTCCTAAATGTAAGCATTTAAAGTAATGAATATTTGTTTTAAAAAAGTATTTCACTGTCATTTATGATATGTGTTCATTGGGCGATCTCTTGGTTTGCCTGATATTGACTTCAGCAAAAGCACGGGGCTGTAAATTACCATTTACTAGGCTAGCCAAATAGTCTTAGACATGTCCCAGAAAACTAGGCAGAATGATGATTCAATGGATCATGGTGAAGCAAAGGATACAGCTTTTTCTTATACCCCTCAATTGTCAACAGGAGTTAACTGATTTGCTGTGGTGCTCAGACTCTTTTGTCACAGGTGCTACTGATTTATCCCATGTTTTTTACTCATTAGTGCATAAAGGCAAACCCCATAATGAAGTCTCAGAGTGTTTGAAGGTAGCTGGCTTCAAAATAAAATCTTTGAGTGCATATTTTATTTTAATACTTATTTGGTTGTGTTTTCCTTTAAACACAGAATAAATCAACAATGACAGACATAAACCCAAATTTTAACTCAATTTTCTCCTCACCAATATTCAAACAAAACTAGTGAGTGAACAAATGCTAACCAGGAATACTTATCTGGTATGAAGAGACCACCAGTTCATACTTATTTCCTTATTTCAAAATAAGAAAGACTAATTGTTCGAGTATAAATGTTAAGCCTCACCTCGCTCATGCACGCACACACACACGTGTAAAAAAGTATTTCAGTTTTACATAAGCTCCATTTCTTTGAAAGATGTTGTCATATTTCCCTTGCTCTGACCCTCTATAGCAGGGGTCATACTTCATGCTCAGTGTATCAGATATCCTGATACTCAAGAGAGTTTCTCTGCTTTTTCCAGTCTCAAATGGAACTGTCAGTTTCTTTGATTTTAGCTTTATCTTTAAATTCTGATTCATTATGTCTTCTCCCTGTCCTTTGCACCCCCCACTGACACACACCATTTCTTTCATTTATTTGCCTATTGTGGACATTCAACTTTTATTGATACTTATTGGATACCAGACACTATGCTTGATGCCAGGGCTACCAAAGTGAATAAGATACATGATTAGGCTTCAAGATATTTATAGGCAAATAAGGAAAACAGAGATGACAATGAAATTAAGGATATATACAGGACACTAACTGTTACATGAGCACAGAATAAAGAATATCATCTTCTGCCTAAAAGAATGTAAACAGGTGTGTGTGTGAGAGAGAAAGAGAGAGAGAGGGAGAGAAAGAGAAAAGACAGAATGTCCTTCCTTTGAAAATCCACCTCCCCACTATTAATCACATGGTGCCACCTTCTGCCAAGGAGAGGACCACTGAAGCATTGTCATTTGTCTGGGATAATACCAGAGGTTCATTGTCTCATGCCAAGAAAATTGAGGACATGGACACACAAGGAGTGAGTTAAGAGCAGAAGTGTAATGGCTAAAAGAAAGAAGAGAGCTTCCTCTTGCAGAGGAAGGGGTCCTGAATGGGTTTCTGGGTTTGGGGCAAGATGAGGTTGGTTTTATAGATGAGTTTGAGGAGGTTGTGTCTGATTTACATCAGACATAGTAGATTGGTTGGACCAGGTGTGCCATTTACATAGCATGGGAAGTGCTGGCCATCCCACCCTAATATTTTATTATGCAGATGGGGTCTCCACCTGGCCAGCACCATATTGCCTGCTTTTTTGTTGCACACATGGTAACAAAGAAAAGGGAAGAGGGAACCTCCATGTTTAATATACCTGGCTTCCAAGTTCCCCTTTCTATTGGCACAGCTGCTGGCATTCACCTTTGCAAGCTTCCAGCTTGCTTATCTGTTCTTGCAGCTTGATTTTTCAGGCTGCTTTTGCTAGACAAGAAATGATTTGGGGGCTGCTTTCTAATAAAAGGAAAATCTTACTAAGAACTCCCTTACCCTCACTAGGTGCTTAAATAATTTCTTTTTAGCTCCTGTATTATTTCTCCCCTTAGGAGTAGTAACCCTAATTGCTGTTAGAGGGTGTTGGATAATGGCTCTTTCTGGCTACTTCCTGCTGAAAATGGGGCATCGAGTGGGGACAGCAGCTAGGGCTCCTCCTGAGTTCAATCTAAGTGTCCTCAGAAGAAAGGCGTGTCCATGTGTGGTTCTGTCTGCAGCACCATTTAAAGTTTGACTGCTTCTAGGCCAGAAGAGATAAATTTTACAAGAAGGTTTAGAATACAGGGTTTGAATATGAGTGTTAAGATTACCATTATTAGTAGGGGTACTATAGGCCATAACCATGCCAGTAGAGTTTGATACCTGTTAGCCATTTTAATGGATTGTAATACTAGTCTGCCTCCACCAGGTTACTTTACCAGAAGTCGCTTACTTTACCAGAAGTGTTAATATAAAAGCAACATTTTTCTTTGCATAAATGTCATTACCAGAAGTGTTAATATAAAAGCAACATTTTTCTTTGCATAATGTCATTGAATTGGGTGGCTAGAGTAACTTTAGTGTTACCTTTGGCAAAAGTTTTCCAGAAATTATTAATTCTATTATAAAGATGATAATTAGGCAGAATATTACAGCAACTGGAATTTTCCAACCGGAATTCCACATTGCAGGTGCCACAATGCATAGTTGTATTGCAAATAGTAGAGTGCATATAACAATTCCCGCAAAAGTGGTGTAGTAGATAATTGGCAAAAGTTTTCCAGTAATTATTAATTCTATTATAAAGATGATAATTAGGCAGAATATTACAGCAATTGGAATTTTCCAACCGGAATTCCACATTGCAGGTGCCACAATGCATAGTTGTATTGCAAATAGTAGAGTGCGTATAACAATTCCCGCAAAGGTGGTATAGTAGATAATTTCCATCTAAAACTTTTACTCGCCAAGACATAGAATTTCTCCTTGGGGTTCTATGAAGTTACAAATGTAATCCCATGCATAATTAAAATCTCCCTGCAAATGTGTGTTAAAAAGAAGTTCTAATATCTGGTGGCGAATCTTGAAAGGAAATGTCAAAATGACAAAAAGTATCTGGTGAGGTAAAGGTGGGACTGAGTAAGATGGGTAGCCCTTACTTGTTCACTTATCTTTTCTGATTTTCAGCTTAAGATCTCTTATTTTTTGTCATTGATATCCAGGACATTCCTCTGGGCTGTCGGGGATTGCTCTCTCAGCTTTCCAGGCTTTGACTGGAGTGTGATGTGTCCAGGAATTAATACCTGTAACTTCTGCTGCTGAGGGAGTTGAAAGAAGAACAGTGTAGGGCCCTCCTCAGCTTGGGGTCAGGAAGAGAGAGAAGGGAGAGTTTCACCAGTACCAAATCTCCTGGGTTAAAGAAAGGTAATCCTATTTCTTGGAGCTGGACTTTTGCTAACTGTGTCAATTCCTGCTGGAAAGGAGCCAGAGAGGTTACATGCTCAACTAACTCAGAGATTTCCTAATTTAATAGAAAATCATTGGTAAGGAAAGACCATCCATACAGCAGCTTAAAAGGGCTCAGACCTAATTTTGAAGGTGTATTTCTTACCCACGGTAAGGCTATGGGGAGAGGAGTAACCCAAGGAAGGTGAGTTTCTTGGGCAGTTTTCTGAGGTGTCTTTTGATAATATCATTTGTTTTCTCTACCTTTCCTGAGGTCTGGGATCTCCAAGCACAATGCAGATGATACTGTATGCCTAGTGCCTCTGAGAATCTCTGTGTGACAGCTGCCTTAAACAAGGGGCCATTGTCACTTTGGAGGTACTTAGGTAGACCAAAGTGGGAAGTTGTTTCATTAACTAACACTTTTATTACCTCAGATGCCTTTTCTGTATGGCATGAAAATGCTTCTACCCAGCTGGTGAAAGTATCTCCCCATCCCAGGAGGTATTGGATGCCCTTCGTCTTTGGCATGTGGGTGAAGTCTGTCTGCCAGTCCTCCCCTGGATAGCTTCCTATTCTTTGGGTTTGAGGAGGAAGGAGCCACCTGTTGAAGGGATTATTTTTAAGACAGACTTCACAAGCATTAACAACCTGTTTGGCTGCTTTTGGTAAGTTCTCTCCTGAAAACAATCTCTCGGCACATCGATAGGTTTTATCCTTTCCCGAGTGAAAAGCTTGATGAAAGATTTTAAGGACTTTCCATTGACTGGAGGCTGGCAACTGGAGTTTGCCATCCTGACTGTAGCCATCCTGAGGGCTGGAAAGTATACACTCGAGAAGTGGCCCATTCTATTTCTGCAGGGAAGTACTGAGGTTTAATTTCTCTACGGGGCCTTCCCAGATTAGAGGGGCTTGAAGTCCATAGTTGTCTTGGGGTTTCCTTGCTGCTGACTTAGCTGCCTGATCAGCCAACCTATTTCCTTTGGCTACTTCATCTTTTCTCTTTTGATGTCCCTTACAATGCATCACTGTTATCTCTCATGGAACGAAAACTGAGGATAAGAAACCTGCTGATTTCCTGGTGGTATTTTATAGGAGATCCATTAGCAGCAAGAAAGTGCCTTTCCTTCCAAATGGCACTACGAGCATGGAGAACTAAGGAACTATACTTGGAGTCAGTGTAAATGTTACCTACCTTTATTTTGCTTAATTTAAGCAAAATCAGTTCAGTTAATTGAGTGCTTGTGGCTGGAGAGAGACACACACTTTCAAAGACGTCATTTACAGTGACTACTGTATATCCTGCCTTGTGGATTCCTTGCTCTACAAAAGGACGCCCATCTGTGAAGGGGTTCTGGTCGGGATTTTCTAGGAGAGTTTCCCTGAGATACTCTCTGGCTGCATAGGTTTGTATTATAACTTGTTCACAGTCATGTTCAGTTTCCCCAGCTTCCACTGGAAGGAAAGTGGTTGGGTTTAGGAGAGAACAAGTGTTTAACTCAACCGTGGAAATCTCCAACAGCAGAACCTGATAGGTAAGGAGCCGGCTGTCTGTTAGCCAAAGGCTCCCCCTAGAGGACAGTAATCCTGCCACGTTATGTGGGGTGTGAATCATTCCCCAGGGTTAATTTGGTGGCTTCTGGGACCAGTAGGGCCACTGTGGCAATGGCTTGGAGGCATGTGTAAATAATAGTTCTCCCCAACTGCAACTAAGGGGTTGAGAAAAAT